TAGCCAAATATACAAAGAAACACCCATTAAACTGTTTCTCGTGCATAGCAAGTCTATCTAAACTCCATATTTCAACAGAGGGACTAAATACATGCAATTTGTTCTCATTGATTTTGGTTTACAGTCAAACTTTGTGTGATTCAGCACAACTTCTGTAAATTGGTTTCGACTGTTTGGTTTCGAGGTCAGCTGTAGATTAGAGACTAAATATCAGAATGAAGAATCCTGCACCATAAGTAATGGCCCAGTGTTTTTCACAGACAATGCAGAAGAGAATACTTTGATGCCTGCGAGACTTCAGTCTGTGATGTCCAAGACACCAGAGGGCTATTATCCAGACAAGAGAGTTGATTATGAAAGAGAAGGCTGGATACTAATCAGAGGGATTTTTAATGCTTGTTAGGTCAATTGATAAGTCAACAGGAGAAACGTAGAGAGAAACCACTGAGAAACACAGGTAGGATCCTTTATTGTAGGAATGTGCCACGGTCTTCTTACGGTTTTAAAATAAGTGCATCCCACTAGAACTGCAAAAAACTATTATTTTGATCATTGATTAATTTAATGATTATTAAAATGATTAAACATCAATTATTTCACAGATTAATCAGTAGCCTTTGATCTAGGGCTGCATGATCCATTGAAATCAATAAGGTTTAAACCGATTTAGCTTATCACAATTATGAAATTGCAAAGGCTGTATATCTATATGTCACAAAAAAAAAAAAATTGTTAACAAAGTAATCACGATGACCAAAATTTTACTTTTTTTTACATTAAATCTGGAAAAAAAAAAATATGGATGGACCTACCTTTTTTTGCTGTTACTGCAAACCAAAATATTTTTAAGGATGACCTCATGGAGAACCAAGTGAAAGAAGCAACAATCATTATTTTACTACTTCTTCCTAGTATTTTACTAGTTCTGTTGACAACTATGCACAGCTCAGGTTTGCTCTGATTGGTTATAGGCCTATCCAATTGAGTGCAGTTTTTTTTTTTTGCCTGGTAAGACGCGCCTCATAATCAAAGCCCTGTGGAGAAATATTACACTCTAAAAAATGCTGGGTTGTTTTAACCCAACTTTGGGTCAAATATGGACTAACCCAGCCGTTGGGTTAAATTTTTACATTACATTTTTAACCCAGCATTTTGGGTTTGTCCATATTTGACCCAAAATTGGGTTAAAACAACCCAGCATTTTTTAGAGTGTACATTCTGGACTTACATTCTGACTAGAAAATGACTATGACGAAGTCAGGGTAATGAGAACCCATGAAAGAACCACATTCAAATACCTCTCTGTAGGACCAATGCAAATCCTCACACCAAACTTGTAAATCTATCCTTAAGAACAGCTTATTCCTTAAGAAAAGGATATGACATCACATGGAGAATTAAGCATCTTAAATGCGTCCTCCTGTTAAGCATCTACGGTAGTTAAATGGTAACATCTTGGCACAATATGCATATGCATGCTAATGCAGATGTTCAAGACTTAAAATTTGAGGAAACAAATTTGAGCAATCTGAATCAAGGAAATCTCTGAAAGTTCCTTTATCATAATTAACATGATGACTAACGTGACACTATATGATGTTGCCACACTTTGCTCCAAAATTTAGGAAGGAAGTAAAAGTCGAGACGTGCATTTTAGTTTACATAGCCTAGAGATTTTACACTGAATACACATGGTAACTGAATGTTCAAGACTAGTTATAAACCCTAAATACCTGACCTAATTATTTGGTCTTGAACATGGGAATAATTACTAAACCCAGTCACCACCTGCAATAGACCATAGGCTTTTTAGGCACAAAATATAAAATACTTCACTAAAGTGTTTAACATGATATAAAATGTGACAAATTTGCAGGCACCTGTCAAGTCCCCTTAAATCTTAAGACCCCCTCCTCTGAGTTCATGTTCATATAATCCCTTAAATTCTTAACAGCTCTGTACAGGCACCTATAGCTGATCATGTGAACAATCTTATGGGCTGTTATTACCAAATGTGAAGTCTTATTTGATTAAGACTGGGCAAGTCACGTAAAAAAAAGCCAACCTGTTTGACTAATTCTTGTTTAATGCTGGTCTATAAAACGACATTGTTTGAGACTGTTCATAGTAAAATAATACATGCAAAATGTTCAACTTTCAGAAAGAATCAACAAGTTGGCAATTTTTTCACTTATATATTGTGTTAGCACTAGCAGCATGCATTCTCTAATGACACACTTGTGTTGTGTACCAAAACGTATCAGTGGTTAGAAACATCCAATGAAAAAGCTATCCATTGGCATTCCCATTTACCTCAACACAGTGACACAATCTGCCATATTTGTTAATAACAAGGCAAGGCCTACATATGCTGATTTGAGCCACTCACCAGAAACAAAATTCAACTAATGACTCTACAGCTGCAAGTTTATACAGTCCTGACATGAGTCATGACAACATTAATTGGTGCCGGAAGTATGCACACACAGTCCCAAACTCTTAAGCTCATCTGAAATTTCAACTCCCCACCTTGAAAGTATACAAATAGGCAGAAGCAGTCAACAAAATGAGCAGTCAAGTCAGACAGCACCTACTTCTCACACTGAACCAACAAATTTACTTAAGCGAAATAAAAGCAAATATCACACTTACATCTACTGTTGTCAACAAAGTGGAGGATGTATTTGAAATTCTTATAAAGACACGTGTTAACAATAAGTAATCTATTACATATATTTCACTAAAACCTGTCTACCCATTTTTACCAACATATTTAACAGATATTTTTGAATGGCCATCAATAGAGAAAGAAGCTGTAATTAGCAAGGCTGCAAAGACTCTCGGGCAGAACTGAAGTTGCAATACTAAATCGCAATCATCTATTATTAAGGAGTCTAGGTCCATTTACTAGTGGTGGGGAAAAAAAATCGATTCTGTTCAGTATCGCGATATTTTGTGCACGCAATTATATCGATACAGTAGCGCAAAGTATTGCAATATTTAATTGACTCTAAGATTAATTAATTAAATTATCTGTTTCACTTTCTGGTTTTCTCCATTGGATTCTCTAAGTTTACTCTGATAATTTAATGTGTATTACATCCACAAGGTGACGCTTGTTGCGGTGCTTTGGTTTTCATGCATTCAACAGCAAATGAAAATTGCTTCACCATCTCAACCGGTTGTACACAACGTTTCAAATCGAAAGTGGGGGTAAATTTCGGTTTTCATCAAAAGTGAATAGTAAAGATCTTGACATTATTTGTATGATTATACTCAGGTTAGATTACTATATTATATCTGTTTTATGTTACTCTATTGGATTTAAATAATTTTAAAAGTTATCTGCTGGGAGCTCAACATCCAATTTAGAGAATAATTACATCCTGTCCTGTAAGTTTTTGCACTTCAGTTAATGTGTAGATAATGTTCACAGAATTAAATGTGACATTTGAAGTGAGTTTAGCCATCTTATTTCCCTCATGTTTTGTAATGACATTGAATTATATGGGGGACATGAATCGCAATATATCACAGAATTGAATCGCTATACTTGCTGTATCGCAATAATATTAAATTGTGGCCCAAATATTGCAATACTATCAAATCTTCACATCTTTTTGCCAATTCCCATCCCCAGCATTTACTACTTCACCTCAAAAAATAGGATACATTGTATTTATTATATCCTCAGATTCTCCATTGATAATAACTACACTGCTTTTATGTTAAAAATAAAATGCTAAAAAACAAATTGCATGACCACTCAGCTAGATATAAAAAAATAAATAAACAGGACTTGTAAATGTCAATGGAGGTAAACACAAAGTGGCCTTAAGAAATTAACACATTTTACGAAGTAATTTGGGATTAAAGATCTTCCCTTTCCACATTTTGAACTGGTTTAATCTGCCTTTTAGAAGCAGAGGCACTGTAGATCCACAAACAGCAGTTGTTGTGGTTAGGCACAGTTAAACAGAGGAAGGTTTCGGCAGGTGTGCACTGGCAGAACAGGAAAACAGCATCACCACTTCACTTCAGCAGTGCCAGAATTTGTTCAAACATTATGTCACATTTCAAGCATTAAAACGTAAAGAGTAATGTAGGATAAGCATAAAAAAATAGCCTACTAAACTATATTAAAATGACTAGCCTAAATGTCAATTGGAATAACACCCTTCTAAAACCATATAGCAAAACAAACAGTGCTTGGCTTGATTTATGTAGGCTAAAATATAAATAAAGTACATTTATCATAAGAAAAAAAGCAGGTCTTTGCTGGTCTTGCAGCCTCACCAGACTGGTTTTTGAAGGGACACTTTTCAGTTGGTCAGGTTAGACTGGGATCTGCCAAATGTTAACAAATTCATTTGTTTCCAAAAGAAACTGGAATTAAATAATCTACATTATAACACCACATTCAAAATACAAACAAAGTTTAATTGGCCATTTCAATTTGACATTGTCAACTGTAATTAAAGGATAAATTGAGCATATGTGCATGGACACCTCAACAAAGAAAAGGAAAAAAAATTCTGCGGTCTAAGGAAAACCAGCAAAACAGGAACATTTAGTTTTTTATAAATAAACCAGCATGAGAGAATCTTTAGGACTACAACACCGTTCACTTCTTCACATGACTGATCCTAAAGCCCAAACACACCATTAACCCCACGCTTCCTTTTCACGGCGCAATAAATCTTAACCAATGCCGTGAACAAATGGCTATCTTATAAACAGGATTCGCAATAAACACGTGTATCTAAAGCAGGGAAATGCAGATAGTGGAGCAGCAAGTATAAAAAGCGCAATCGGCGGAAATGTGGTCAATCTAAATAGCAGGCGCTAACACTGCTAGCGCCGAAAGCTATCAAATCAATAATACGTTAAAACATTTTCACGGTTTTATCGTAATACCCTGCTCTCATTGACCCATCGGAAGCTGCTCGGGTCCATGTTGTGGGTGTGTATGAAAACAAAGCGGGTTTTATATAGTTTACCTCACTCAAGTGCCGTGTGCATCTCCTCTCCGCTCGGTACTAAAACACTCACGCTGCGCACAGCACAAAACTCAGACCCCACTGCGGAAACGGCATTCTCAAAGACAATAACGTTCTTATTTGTTACGTTCTTACACCCGCCTGCACATTTCGAGGAATGTGTAACGCACTTTACGCAACGTGGAACGCGCTCTATGACGTGTGCTTCCGCCACCAGCTCGGAAGCAGGCGTCACAAAAGTCGGTGATATCAAAGACTTTAGGACTTTGGTAATATGGCAAAAATTATTGAGAAAATCCGCGGTACATTCTCACATTGTGAAAATTTTTCAATATGTCATGTCATGTAATTATTATGGCTGTCTGAGTTACATCCAATGAGAAGATTGACATCTACAGTCGAGCTTGGGCAAAGTCCACGTTTTGTTTTACGTTTTGTTGTTTCCATTTAAATGATAGCAGCTCAGTGGTATTAGCTTTTTTTTTTTTTTTTTTTTTGGATAATCCTGTAGTATTAAAGAGTTAGTTCACCCAAAAATGAAAATTCTGTCAGTATTTACTCACTCTCATGTTGTTCCAAACCTCTATGTGTTTATTTGTTCTGCTGAACACAAAGGAAGATATTTGAAAGACTGTTTTAATCAAACAGATCTTATTCCCCATTGACTAGTATGTAGCCTATTTTTTTCCTACTATGGTAGTCAATAGGGAATGAGATCTGTTTGATCAAAACATTCTTCCAAATATCTTCCTTTGTGTTCAGCAGAACAAATAAACACACAGAGGTTTGGAACAACATGAGGGTGAGTAAATACTGACAGAATTTTCATTTTTGGGTGAACTAACCCTTTAAATTATTGTTTTACTTGTGGTGTAGTGCGTGTAATGTACTCCTTAAATAAGGCTAATTCCTTTTTGACACCAAAATGCTATCTCAGGACCAAATCATGAGTGAGTAAAATGCGAGGTTCATGGGCGGGGTCAGGGGTAGGCACGAGTGAGGTCGTATGAATTCCTACGAAATAGCCACCTTGTAAAATTCGCAAGAACAGGCAAAATTTTTATCTCTGACGTAATAAAATAGGCCTATTTATAATTTAAAGAAGTGCTCTAACTTTTTTTGGCTTCTGCTATTCTGTTTAGACAGGCTTGTGAAATTGATTCAATCAAAACAACAAACATGATACAGTGTTCTCTTGTGGCTCGCGCTGTCGCACACAGTCTTCACACGGACACGTGCTTTAACCCGTTGTGGAAACTATATTTGTTCCGGTGAAATTACAAACTAAAATGCACACAAACATACAACTGATAAACATAATTGGTTTTAATGAGAGAAAGAGAGCACAAAAAAACATATACGAGTGCGGATTCACATTTATTTGTATAGCGCTTTTCACAATACATTTAAAATTTAGAGTGATCTGTTATCAGAGGTGACTATGTCCAAGTTATGTATTTCAGAAATGTATTAATACAAATCACACAGTTAGCTAACAATGTATTATTTTAAGGCAGAAACAATTAACTTAAGGCAACATGTTACCAAATGTTTAGGATACAGAAAAATTGTAGCATTGGTGCAGCATTGTAGCAAGAGTTTGCGTCATCTTAAGTTTTCGCGGGTGCTGGGTCGTCTGAAAATTTCATAAGAGGCTGGATCCAAACTGAAGACCAACTCTCTTACCTCAGGATGGGCATTCCGAGATTAAACAGAAAAGCAAATGGAAAATAATTGCGTACTGTAGCTGCTGTTCATTAAATTAAGCAAAGACAATCGTGCATTTAAAGGAGCATTTCTTTACATTAAACTTTATTGAATATGGATCAGAAATGTAAAAGAATTTTTCAATTTGGTGCCCTCTTGACCAAGAAAAGACAGAAAATAACCGAAGGGTGTATTTGTATGAAAGCACAGCTCAGCAAGCCATACCCACTAATCCGGAACTGCGCGCACATCAGAGAAATCATTCTTTCGTCAACAAAGCTAACGTTAGCTGCCACCAGAGTTTGAAATTCATTTCACTCAAAATTTCTAGTTAGATGGCTGTGGTGAGCAGGACGAGGGATGTGAGAGCGGCATGAGAGGACAGCGCGAGGCCGGTGGCGTGAGTGATAATGAAAGACAAGAGACACACCAACCGATCTCATATCTCTCACAGAAGAGCGGGAGCATAAACGGCAGATCTGTAGAGAAACAGGCCTGATTTTATGTTGTGTGTGGACATCAGTCATTAATGAGGGGCTGTTGGCTTATACTTTTGTTTTGTATTTGTTCATTTTATTAAAATGTTTAAATGTTCGTCGATTTCTGCCTCCTTCCCACAACAACAAACCCCGTTAACGTTACATTGTCAAACTCATTAGTGAATTACTCTTCGTTTGTATTTCTTTCTACATGGTGTATTACTGCTTGATACCTGTTCAGTCAGGCGAAACTATGATTGTTCACATCAAAACTCAAACATCCGTGTGCTCGTCTGATTCAGAGATTTCATCGAGGAGAAATTGCCATAGTTGAAATTCTCTGCAGCAGACGGACTCTTGCTGTGTCCGTAGGCCGTAGCACGCAGCGAGAACACATACACACCAGTCCGCTCGAGCCAGTCAGGGCTCCTCGACAGTCAGCCAGCCGCCTCCTTCTCCTCCATCAGCCTCAGCTGCTCTTCACTAACTTATATTGCGGCTTGTAAAGATAGCCACGAACATCGGATTCGAGCAGCAGACATTTAAAATCCTCTTCTTTCATTTCATGTTTAGTTTCTTCTGTCATTGTCATACTTCCTATATACACAGCGCTTGTTAGCTTAGCTTCCAAAAACAAGATGGCGGATACTGATTCAGTATCTGCAAGTGAAGTCCCACCCACTGATCTGTAATAGGCCTGTAGGGTGAGTGGGTCCCACACCCTTGAATTATGAGGAGCTAAGTTTGTAGTCTCTGTCATTTCAATGAAATGTGACTTCCTGCTTATTATGACGCAAAATGACGATTTTTTTTCACGTCATAATAAGCAGGAAGTAAAACACTTAAATCATTATTTCTCCCATCTCAGAAGAAAATAAGGGAATAAACCATGACCATAAACCAATAAACCATAAACCCAAAATATGACTGGGTTTCTAAAGATATAAGCTTAATGCAAATGGGTGAAGTGTCCCTTTAATCTGATATAACTGGAGTATAAGGTTATGAGATGTGTCTTTAATCTAGATTTAAACTGGGAGAGCCCCAGACATGAAGGCTATTTCAAACCCAAATGTGAAAACGCTCTCCCTCCTTGAGACAAGATCTATCATCATCTATCTATGCATGCACAAAGTTTAATGATGCAGTTGGATCATCCATCTGATTCTGGTGTTGAATTCAGGTCTCATGGGTATTTTCATTCTTGTGTGTTAGACACAAGTCCTAAAATATATGGAGGCGCAACAGCTTTGAAGAAATGACGGAACTGTGCCTTTGTGATCAGCCAAGACAGTGAACATCATGCAGCATTCTGAAGACAAAAGGATTTATTCTGTAATGGATGCCACTCTTGTGGGAACAGAGCACCCTTGAGCGGTGGGAAAATGAGAATATGTAAAGCTTAACTGATGCAACTTGAAAAATGTGGCAATATGGAATTGACTATTGTGTGGATCTATCTATCTGTCTGTCTGTACAACATTATGTATCATGATATCCTGCAAATACAGTAATTTCTTATTCCTGGCACAGTGAACAGAGGAGGATTCTGCTAATTTAAAGACAAGAACATCAAGATGGGTGCTGTTACAACAAAACACAAGTCTATTCTTAACCTCAGTGAGTCCCTGTCTGCGTTTGAACCATGGCTGGCTTTTGATTCCTCCTGACAATCTTGTCAGCGGTTATATTCTGCATTAGAGAACTCAGGTCTGGACTAACACATCCTCGTCAAATCCCATGTTTCTCTGAAATCCTTACAGCGCAAAAGAAATATGTTGAAGAGACCCTGCTGAGAAATAACATCTGGTAAGGAGGAACAGGATCAAAGTCAGTGACGCTCAGTTCATGAAGCTGAGGAAAGTTTCAGAGTTACCATGCAGGGAACTCTGGTAACTCTTTTTTTTTTTTTTTAGTTTAGGAGATATTATATACTCCATTGGAGCTGTGAATAAATCTCTGTGTTTCAAACAGTCTGTAAGAATGTGTTGCCAGCTGCCATTAATCCGGGTCATCTGAGAGAATCAGGTGACACGGCAGCTCACAGCAATGGATAGTCGGCATCAAGATGACACACTTCACATATTAATCACCTGTCAGTCCCGGACCGTCGTTGACAAGCCAGAGTCATCTGAGAAATATGAAATGGTGCCTTTGCTTCGATTCACTTTACTGTAAGACACCTGCAACACACTCTTTTCCTCTGGAGATCACATAGAATTATTGATGAGTGCTGCCACTCAGCTGCAGTGTGTGTCTCAGGTGTCATTTTTCATTTCTCTTCCTGTTTGCTTCACATACACATGCATTCAATAAAACAAACCACAGGCCTTGAATATCTTCCTCTGAAAATCTAATTAAATTTCTTTTGAATAAACAAGGGAACGGATTTAGGTTTTAGTTTGATTACAGATTAGGATTCCTTGATGAATAGTAAGTTCAAAACAACATAATTTATTTGAAATGAGAATTTTTTTTTTTTGCAACCATGTAAAGTTTTTACTCTCACTTTTGATCAATTTAATGCATGTATTCATTTCTTTTTAAATACTACTGACTGCACAATTTTGAATGGTAGTGCATATTTTCTATTTCATTTTCACAGTGTAAATAGGTATCTTAAATATTAATATCTATCAGTCCCGTGTTATTGCCGCACGTTTTAAAACCAACATTTATTTTCAATATAATATTGTTTTTTTGTTGTTGTTGTCATTTGTTCATGGTCCACCCAATTCTATTTATGATTACATCTCACCATAAGTAGTTTTGCAGCCATGTGATTGGATTACAATACAGTAACTCACAAAAATAAATAAATAAAGAAATAAAACAACAACGTATCCATTCCTGATTTTGCACCTGTTATAACTACAAGCAGTGTTCTTATGTTCAAAACCCCAATCAAACACTTAAGTCA